TTGTCCCAATCTCTCTTACAGTTAAATAGGACAATGTGACGGAGTTCTGGCCAATAGAGTTCCAAGGATATGATGTCATCATTTCCAAACCTCGTCCCATAAATGTCTCACTCTTTCTCGTGATCCATCTTCAAGCTGGATGTTGACTTCCATGACAACATTAAAAATTACATATTAAAAATGGCAGGGCTACCAGTGTCCTGTATCTCGGAACAACTGTGGGATGCAATGCCCTGACTGCATTACAAACAAACATAGCCACTGAGACTCGGGATTTATACGTTACTGACCTTAAACAGAATTACCTTTAATATACACCGTGTTACTTTTCTATATTGATAAATCCTTCCATCATTTTATAACTTTTAGGATTTAAAGAACTCTCCCACAAAAGGAATACTAGCATTATAGTTCTTGGGACCTTACCACAAGACAACTTTAACTCTAATGGTAACAAGCCTTACTATCATTTCAGAAAACTTAGATGTCTAATACAGTCTCTCATATGAAACTCTTGTACATTTAATGATTTCTGTGATTTATAAACAGAGTTATTTCATCATTATTAGCTAAATAATCTGCTTAACTCTCCTTAATTTGGTCCCCTTTCAATACTTATCTTAAACTCTCTCTTCTCATCTCTAACCTCTTACCCAACCCACTAATTCCTATCTTCTCACATTCTTAGAAGAAGAGGCTTCTTACTGAAGGCAGTTGAAATCATCATGGATCTCTCCTGCAACAACATATCTGAAATGCTTTAGTTCTCATATCAAACACTGCTTCTAGTACCTCCGTGACTTAGGAGACGTGTATGACAAAGCCTCTGTCAGGAGTGGCCTACCTGCAGGCCGCATGCAGCCCAGGATAGCTCTGAATGCAGCCCAACACAAAATCATAAATTTACCTAAAACCTTTCTTTTGCTCATCAGTTTTCATGAGTGTTTGTATATTTAATGTGTGGCCCAAGACAACTCTTCTTCCAGTGTGGCCCTGAGATGCCAAAAGGTTGGACACCCCTACATTTGAAGTAAGTCACTTAATCTCTTTGAGTCATCTGTGAAATGGGAATCATAATGTTTGAACTGTTTAGATCTATTATAATGACCAAATAATATGATGTATATAATTTTTTTTATATTTCAAGGAATTATTGTAATTTTTGCTCATGTTGTTTGATTTTCATTTTTAGTTAGATAATAAATATCTGCCATGAATCATAAAATACCCTTTATTAGGAAACATTCTAGAATCTTAAGTTGTAAGTTTTATGGGAATAAAACTCTCTGTGGTCAGGATGCTGGTCATGATTCCTTAGTTTCATGATCATAAATTAAGTCCTATGTTTAGTCGATCCTTGCATAAGGGTCCATATATAAGTCATTCCTCATTCACTCCAGATGCATCAAGTAAATAATCTTTTCAATGTTATTTTTACAGTTTTAATTTACGACTAATATTCAACCATCCAATAAACTGAATCAGTATTCCAGGAAGACAGTTCAGTTGACAAATTCTTTTCACAGTACAAATGTTCAATGAACATTTTAGAACATCAGTTCTCTTCAAGGTGTTGTGTGCCTGCAGGGTGTACCAGGAGATACACCTCCTGCCTTTGAGGGGCACAACTGAAGTGCAACTCCTGTCAACTGGCCAAGTTGGAAGATGTCATATTGTTGCTCGAGCTGTACCTTAGAATCGATTCCAGATATCCCCAACTCCCCCAGTTGCCATCAAATCAATTAGCAGGCCAGACAGTTTAAGGAGCCAAATATTTCACAGATGTGTACTTCCTTCTTTAAGGCCTTTAACGTTTGTCTCTCCATAACTTGACTCCTGCAAATTTCACAAGCTTATATCATATACCTGTTATTTTATGTTATAGTCAAGTTATGGAGAACACATCACAGTCCCACAGATCCACTCATTGCTTTGCCATGTATTACAGTTTTCTCTCACCAATACCCATTCCTCTATTTCTTTCCCAGCTAATATTATCTGACTCTTTCTACTCACCAAGTGTTATACTTCTAAAATGTACCTGAATACAATGCACAACCTCATTCATAATGTTTACCATTTGTATAAGTTATACCTGTTTGCAAGTTTGTATCCACTATTAGACTTATTACAGGAATATCTCAAAAGTGGGGATAGTATTGGGATCAGCTTGGCATGCCCAGAAGTGATATTAATTTAATATAAACCAATATTAAGTGAGTAAATAAATAAAACATAATATGATCTCAATAAATATTTAATTTATCTTGCAATAATGGTTGTATATTTAATAAGCAAAATTAATTCGAGTATAATAGACTGAAAGCAGAATTTTTGACAGCACAGTTTTTAATTATGGTTGTTTTGAAACCTATCCTGGAATTTTTATGCATCTTTTAAGCTAAATTTTATATCCATTTTTTATTTTTCAATGGGGGCCACATTTATTACGTCGCAATGGATAGATGGAAAGTTTCCTTCTATGCCTGGCTCACTCCCCGCACCGACACCGAGTGTTTAATGCCGGAGGGCGCCTGGTCTGGTGTGGGCGGCCGTTACCCCAGGGCTCCCGAGGGGCAAGGAGCGGATGTTTCAGAAAAGGGCCTCTGTACTCCCCGCATGCCTGGACTTCCATGCAGTGTCCTTTCTGTTACTTAATCTCCTCTCTTTTCTGTTTTAATCAAAACTTTCATTTGAACAAAAAAAAGTGCTGATTTGAATGATGAAAGGCAATTTTATCCTAGAGCTATATTCCTGTGAAGTTTTGATTTAGGAAAGCCCAGCTCAGCCCTGCCTGTCTCTTTCCCAGCCCCGGACCCCTTCCCCATTCCAGCCGAGAGATTGACAGTGTGGCCAGAGCAGCGCCTGCCTGCTGGGGCCTGGCGCTCAAGAGCTCAGACTAACGAAACCTGCACAGCCGAGGCTTGGCTGTTGGCTACAGTTACGGTGCAACCTTTCCCTTCTGTTTCTGTCAATAATATAAAATACTCAGTTTTTCTTTCGGAGCGAACTCTTCAGGTATACTAAAATGTGTTCCACAAGCATTTTTAACGAACAGGTTAAGGCATTTCCTAATGTTCAGATTATATGCTTTTCTAAAGGACAAGACACTTCCATGGTTGGGCAGTAGCATGTTTCAGGCCGTCCATGTGAACAGCTGCACAGAGCGAAACGTACAAGGCCCATCTGTGGGCCTTAGACTTTCATCTTTAAGCAGATTGCTCAGCATGCCTTGATTAAAGCAGCAAATGGAACAAGAAACACAGCAAAAATGATGGCAAGAGGCAGCAGATTCCGATGGTAGGATTCTGATTCAGAGCAATCAGGAGATGCTTCATGAGATGTCTTAGATACATGATAAACATTTTTCTGCCCATGCTCCCTAATATCTGAAATTCAAATGTTAGAGGAGACTCACTGAATTCAAACAGCAGCTCTATGCTAAGGTGCCCCTCTCTGGAACAAGCCGAAATATCTTGAGTTCCATCAGCCACAGTGCCCCTGAATTATTGAACTACGGGACGGGACTCCTTGACGGTCATCTAGCTGCGGTGCGATAGCGGGAGTGAATGTGTCTGACACTTTCTGAGAGACTCTTAACAGAGGAACTGGACTCCATGGGGGCCATTATCTCCAGGACAGATGGTGCAGATGAGGTACCGCCACAGGAAGGGAAATGATTTGAAAGGGAGACCAGGGCAGCTACGGTCGCATCCATGTCACTGTTTTGCCCATAGGTGAGCAACGGCCACAACAAAAACCATACATGGCCACAGAGAGGGGACTGTCGACCTTGCAACCAGATGCAAGCAAACTTTCAAATTATCAGCAAAAACAAACTCAGCAGCTGAAGATTTTTAGATTGGGAAAACTCTTGAAATGGAAATTAATTTGGTGCTAAATCTCCAAGAAGTACTGGGTCAATATATGAGTATACCAAGAACTTCAAGTTGATTTACCTTTTTAAACTAAATAATACCATTTCTAGTAACTTATCCAGGATATTTACACATACAAAGACATGTATAACATATATACATAAAACAATAGTATAAAGCCATTAAAATAATGTCTTAATATCCAACATTATGTCATAATGCTATGCAGAAAATACAGGTTCCTAAAACCCTTTATATGATAAGCACCAAAATCTATAAAATTTAATTTTCTTTTATTGCTCTCCTTTTATTAGTGCATAGAAAAGAGATGAAAATAAATTATCAAGAGTTACCAGCAGTCATTTGTTGATGCTGAGTCATTGGATGATCAATTTTTTTCCTCCACAGTATACACTTCACATTTATGACCATGAAAAAATATTTTTTAATCAGAAAAATATTGTTATTTTCCTGCTGTTGAACTCACAGTGCACTTCAAACATACTTCACAGGCGGCGTAGTTTGAGGCTAACACTGTCAAGAGAATTACATTTGCACATTTCTTTGCAGTTTTATGTCTACATGTGCACGCATGTGTATGTGTTACCCTATGTGAATTTTATAAGAAGGTTGAGGTAGGTATTGCTATCATCTCATTTTCATAGTAAAGGAGACTAAGGGTCAGAGAGACTACAGCATCTTAGCCTGTACTACTGTCTGGTACTTGCTTTATGACTTTTGTGTTCTCTGTGCCAGTTTCTCAAAATACGTAGAGACTACTGATATATTTTCTGAATTTGCAGACCAATTCCTGTAAGGTTACTGAAGAACAAGAATGATGGTTCAGTTTGATGAGCATGCAAATATGCACACAGGCATCAAAGTCTCAGCTAGTACTTTTCCACCATCATGGGAGCAGAAGGACAAACAGCTGTCCAGGAGTGGTTCCCAAATAGCCCGTGACCACACACATAAACACTTCTGAATGAGGAATGTTCTCACGATGTGGACACTGTAACTTCTTGGCAATTTCCCAACACCATTATGAAACTTACTCCAATTTCATAAATAGGGTATGTGGCTTATATTTCATTTGTCACTCTATAAAGAGAAGTAGGGGAATATAAATAGCTGGGGAAGCCACATCTTCATGCTGTGTGGGACATCTCAGCTTCCTGCAGTCGCCAACATGCCTTTGGTCCTGCTTTCTGTCCTTTGGCTCATTGTACAAACTGAAGGTAAGCACTCATATATTGACATTTTATACAAAAGTCAAATTATTTTATGCATTTTAAAGGTACTCTTAAGAAAATGACATGCTCATATGATCGAGAGGTCACTACCGTTTGCATTTTGGTACATTTACCCAATTTATATAAACTATGCTCATTGTCAAGATGTTGTGACTGGCATAATAATTTAATTAGGATATCTCTGAAATTTTCTCTCTCATTCAATAATCCTGGAAGTTCTATCATTTTGTTTTCTAAAACACATAGATTCATATAACAGCAGAGAAGTAATTTCAGACCAGAATACAAGAATTTTCTAACCATCTTCAATGTTATCTTAAATGACATTAATATTTCTACCCCATAAAAAGACAATCATTGGTCTTTTTCCTGTCATAAAAAGACAGAATTTATCCACATGCTGCACTAGGGTGGATGACAAGGAAGGCCCTTAAGTAAAATTAGAGTTAAGTTAGACATATTTGCATTATTGAGCAACATTAAAAATTAATTGACCACTGACCAGATAGTACTAGAGGTGGGACTATATATTATTAAAATTCACTCTACTTCCAATCCCACAACTCTTTCCACTAATGAGATTTTATGCTCTTTTGATAAAGACCTTTTAGTAATAAATTTATGAGGTTTTTTTGTTTTTTTGTTTTTTGTATGTAATGAGTTCTTCTTAGGACAGCATCACAGCAGAATTTTGGGGTTTGACCAGCAGAGATGTTATGATTCTCTGCTCCCGTTCAGGGTGTCTGCCGCGGCCAAGTGCAGAATCGCTTGGTGTCTCCAACATCACACTGAGTGTCACCCTGCGCGAGGATCTGTCTCTAAGCATAGACACATGTCTGTGAAAATGGGAACATTTAAAAATAAAACTGACCTTATATCAATTCTAAAACAAGTAGAGAAAAAAATGGATAAAGTTTTCCTTGCCAACTTCCTAGACTGGTGTTAAATAATTTTAGATACACTATGCTATTTAATTTTTTATACCAATCTCCACTTTAAGTAAGCAAACTGATAGAAATCAACTGACTTTTATAAGGTCATTTAGCTAGGACTTAAGATCACATATTTTGATTCCAGTAGAATAAAATAACTGTTAGTAGAGTCTTTCCTACAAATGAAGAGTTATCTGTCTATGAAGTATTTGATTTTTGGAGGGGGTAGTTGGGGGTTGCACCATGGAGAGCAAAAGACATAAAAAGAACAACAGAGATCTTTGAGAACATTAGACGAAAAATTCATAATTTCGTAGAGGACAATAGAGGAGGAAGAAGCTGGACTGCTACAGGTAGGATTCCTGACTCCCATAAGCTTTATTCTAACCCTCAAACCTGCTTTTTCCAGCCTGATATCCCAGAATTTACATACATGGAGAGATTACCGAAGAATTGTTTCCAGAATCAGGGGTGGGGGTCGTGAGAGCCGAAAAAAAGTTCTTTGTTATCAAGTTTTGGGTGGATGGAGGAACTTGTTTTGAATGTTTACTTTCTCCTTTGGAATTCAGCCTTCCAAACCATTTTTCAAAACAACCAATCAAAACCAAAACCAAAACAAAATCCTTTCAGTGTTTTGTATCACTGTTATCTCTCTCTAGCAATAGCCATAAGGCGAACACCTGAAACAGGACTCTATCAAGTAGTCTATCCTAAAAAACTGCACCTTTTACACAAAAGAGAGGTACAGAACAACCAGAGAGAGACCCATGGTAATGAGGTAAGTAATGTGGATGACTGTGGGATTTTTCAATCATCTGAAGAGACAAGAAAGAGCCTTTTTATTAACAGAATTGATGTCAGAGTCAACATCTAATGGTTTGATGAGGAAGCCCTCATGCATGCCTCCCCTTCATCCAGGAGAGAACTTGGGATTCTCAGAGCTCTTACAATGAGGCAGCAGAAAGGGAGTTAACTGCCTCGCTTGGTCCGAAAGAATGAAACTGCTTAGGCATTTCTCCAAGGTTTCTGGGAGGGGAAAAAGGCACCCAGGAAAAGCAGCCATTTTTAAAGATGTTCCTGGCCAAGCTCCTAAACTCATGCCTTTCCACTCTCTTCACCGTCTTCCCCCACTGAATTGCCTTTTTGTTGACTATTTTGTCTGTAATGGAGAACTCAACATTATCTCATTAATTAACAAGATTTTAAAAATATATTGAGGATATTAATTCTTAGACTATTACATTGTTGCCAGTATTTCCTTTATTTTACGTTTTTTACTTTAATTCTTAGGTTTTTGGTTGATTTTTTTAGTATATTTGGTTTGATTTTAATGTAATAAAAACCTATGCCTTATTATTAACCCACTAGTGATCCATTAGGGTACACAGGGCTGTATACCGTATATAGGGCAAATAATTAGTCCCTATCTCACATATTAGAATTTGTTTAACTTGTAAGTATCATTACCCTGCTATTGTACTTTTTGGAAATCCATTTAAATATATAATTTATAGTCAATTTCATATATTATAAGGGCATAAGAGAGCTACTTTTATGTTACATGCATCTGCAATTACCAAAATATAAATTGATATCTTCATATCATTACAGTTTTAAAAAATATTTTATTATTCTATTACAGTTGCCCCCATTTTCCACCCTTTGCCCTCCTCCACCCTGTCCAGCCCCCGCTCCCACAGTCAGTTCCCCCCGTTGTCCATGCCCAGGGGTCATTCGTACGTGTTCTTTGACCAGTCCCTTCCCCTCCTTTCCACCACTGTCCAACCTCCCTCCCCTCTGGTTGCTGCTGGACTGTCCCATGTTTCCGTGCTTCTGGTTCTACTGTGCTCATTCGTTTGTTTTTGTTCATTAGGGACCTCTTGTAGGTGAGGGAATATGGTATTTGTCTTCCATCGACTGGCTTATTTCACTTAGCATAATATTCTCTAAATTTTTAAGGAAAGATATGAACCTGAACTTCGGTACCAGATTATGTTAAATGGAGAAGTCATTCTCTGCCTACAAAAAACCAAGTAAGTCGTACTTTCTGAAAGATAAATCACTGGATTTTATTAAGAGAATGTGAAAAAATAAATCTTGAGACTCTATTTAGTGTGATTTGAGATAAATATACATGAAGTATATTGAGTTTTAGGCTAATATTATCTCAGAAATGTTGATGTTTCCTAGGAGATTACATGCAAAGTATAAAACAAAAAGCTGCACATATAAATGACTTTCTTCCTTGATGCTTCTTGGAATTTACTGAATTACTTTTATAAGAACGTATGTCCAAGGCTCATTCAGGGGTTTGGCACCAGCCAGCTCTATAGCAGCGAGGAGTATTTTCTTGGAATTCCATGGTCCCTTATGCACACTTGTGACCTTGTGACAGATGTGTCCTCTGTGCAACGAGTCTCCAAATAACCCACTTTGAACATAGAGAATCTGTAGTTAAAAGGTAGCTGCGGGCGTTTCTTCCCTCAGATCTAACAGGTGTAGCCAAGGCTTTGATTTGCTTCAGCAGCAGAGTTCCAACATTGGAAAAGATCAATGGTTCAGAAGGCCAACACCTTCCCGCAGTAGACAGTACTGTTCCTTTAGTGCTGGAGGCCATAGCAGGAACATTAGCCTTTATTACCACAGTGGGTGAATCATGCAACTTTCTGCTTGCTGCAGGCATCTCCTGGGGCCAAACTACACGGAAACGTACTACTCACCCAGGGGAGAAGAAATCAACACAAGCACTCAGGACATGGTAGGTTCTGAATGCTTCCTGGGACTCTCTATGGATCTCCCACTTAGGTTAAAAGATTCATAAGTCAAAAGACAACTTAAAAAAATTAAAGAACTTGAAAGCCAGGTGTTTATCTATTCAATAAGATAACATGAAAATCATAGTCAGCATTTTTAGAAGGTAGGAGTACCAGGCGGTGTCCACGTGTTGCACTTCGTGAAGCACCTAAAGCCTACTTTTCTCCTAGACCACCTTATCAATGGGTTAGACATAACCTATTTATTATATTCTGACAATACATGCATATATCCTGAGGTCAGCAATAGAATATCAGTTATTTAATTAATATCACTTTATATCTGGTTAAACCGCTACCCTACCGATAATGCCAAGGTCTAGACATCAGACAGAGTCGAGGCCAAAGGAAGAACAGAAAGAGGATACAAAAAGGCTTACTCATGAAGTTTTACCAAAATGAGTTTTTCAGAGCTATCCCCCTGCACGGTGACACCCCAAACATGTATATCTCTTAAAAAATACAGATAAGGCTTCTGCCACAAAGGGTCCTTTGTTGCCTACTCACATGAAAACTCTCATGTCATGAATATCTGGTTGGTTGCTGACATTGACCTCCAGGGAAATTATCTGATAAACTAATTCATGCTCAAGCACAGTAGCTTATAGCTTAATGTGGTACCCTTTCCAAGCCTCCTATAAGAAAATGTGTATGATAACAAGGTTTCTTCCAAAGGAAAGAAAAACACAAATGGAATTTCAGGACCTGGGGCAAGTCAGTTTATTTTGAACAAGAGGTTATTCATTAGCTTTCTTAGATTATTCCACACAAGTGACCCCCTATTTTGCTTATAGGGATCAACAAACATGTCTGAATATTTAACTTTAGACAAATTCTCTGGGATTTTGATAATAGTAAAGAAATTCCACTAACATACCAATTAATATGGGAAGTGGGACCGATTAATATGAGGGGCTCAGGAGTGGCAGTGTAGCCTCTTGAGGACCCAAGAATCTAGAAAAATATGTACCCCTTTTTATTGGCATGGTCTTCACAGCATCTTAGGGACTCAGCCAAAGGGAGCCAAACACTCACAAGCTGTACCTCAACTCTGAGAGTTCTCTAGATCACAGGGGAGTTGGCTGCTCCTCGGATGCCGCGTCTGTCCACTGCACCGCGAGCCCACTTCCGCTTGGCCTCCCTGGACTCCTGTTTAGTGCCTAGGAGCGCCGGGAAGACAGCTCAGTTGTCCCGTACAGAGAGTCTCCGGGGTCAGTGGAGGAACAGTTCACGTGGCCTCGGAGGATCTCACTGTTTTTATTCTGGGAAGTGGTCTGGCTGCAGACACTACTCACAGGCCTCGCCTACACAGTCAGAGAGCAGCTCCCACTACAACTGTGATACGTTTATTCTTGTAGTTAACACTTTTTTCTTTTTCCAACCTTAGGAACACTGCTACTATAAAGGACACATCCTGAATGAGAAGAATTCCATTGCCAGCATTAGTACCTGCAATGGGTTGAGGTGAGAACTACTCCCCAAAATACTAAACATCAAGCATCATTTTATTGCACAGACTGAGTCTTCCGGAACATCATGTTTTATACTGTCTTGGTGAAATTCTCTCCATCTATGAAATGCTGAATCTATGTAGTTAATATAAGGTATCATCCTTGCAGTCATTTTATAATCTGCTGATCTAGTAGATGTTAGTCCTAGAGATATTTAAACAAGGTGCTACACTCTGGACCATGATGATATCTGGGTCCATTTCCACATTTATCCATCCTACTCCCTAAAAAGTTCTGTTTTATTTTCTTAAAGATTCTACCTTGCAATTTTCATAGTGAAACATACTTTTACAATTGTGTGTGTGTGGTATTTCTCCTAAAAAGGTAATTCTTATCAATTAGGAAAAATTTGAAAAACAAGGAAAATGCAAGTAAGAAAATAAGAAAGTATTCACCATGAAGTTTTTCCTCTGCGTGATTACTGTTATTAATATTTTGTCATGTTTGCATCTTTTATGCACATAGACAAATATACCTTTTATGTGCTTGAAATTGAAAATAAAATAGATAATTGTTCTTCCAGCATGGTCCATACCACATGACATCAAAAGCCTTTTCCCTCGCCATGAGGTACCTTCACAGATGAACTTTTGAATGGCTATGTACACTTTTAATATTCCATCATATGGATTTGACTTTATATTTCTGAGTGAGTTTACCATGATAAAGTAGAATCTTTTAAACTACCAGTTCCAAACTTTTCCTCTGGATAATCTGCTCGCATTTTTTCCCTTCTCTGGCATTCTTGGGATCTACATGCTCCTTTACTTCTCTGTTATTTTCCTAAGACCTGCCAAGAAATATTTGCTAAATGTATACATAAATGATGGACAAGTTCTATTGAGCTCATGATGTCAATTCCAAATCCTTTGGGGTAGCTTCATCTGAGTCATTCTTGTTCACTATTCTCTGGGAAAATAGTACAGGCTCCGTTTTACTATTGACAGATGCTGATTATCACTTAAATTAACATAACTTAGCCAAAAGCCTATGAAAAACTACGGTATGTGTGAGCCTGGGGTGGAGGGAGAGGTGCCAATCCATCCTGGTCAGTACATGTGACTCTGTGGCAGAGAATCCTCAAATATGAATCTCTGTGCCTTACAGGGGATACTTCACACATCAGAATCAAAGATACATGATAAAGCCTCTGAAAAGCACAGACCAAGAAGAACATGCTGTCCTCACAGATAACAAGGAGGAGCTGGCTAATAGCACCTGTGGTGTAAGAAACGTTGGCAGAAAACACAGCCTCATTCGTAGGTCTACGTCACTCAACAGCCCAGAGGTAAGTGTAGCTTTCCTGTGTCATTTATTTCCATTGTCACAACAATGACGATATGATACTGTTGTGCTCAGCAATGAGTGGGATAGGGAAAGCCTATACCCAATTTACTTATTCATCAATTGACTTTCCCTCTGAGGGGAAAAAAAAACAACACATCTCTTAAGCTCTTAAAATTTTTAGGATAAAGGTAATTATTGACAATGTTCTTTTACTCTTTTAAAGCAAGAAGAGTTTCTTCGGGCTGCAAGATACGTTGATCTCTTCTTGGTGCTGGATAATGCCTTTGTGAGTATGAAATGTGCAGGCTCCTTGTCAAGTCAAGTTGACTTTCAGGATTTCATATCCGCAAACACATGCCATGACCCATTCTGGCTGAAAACGCAGAGCCTGTGCCCCTAACTGCCTGACTCTCCCGCCTGCCTTGCCAGCAACAGCGCTCACTCGCTCCCTTTGGTGTCTGCTTGCTGCCAAAATATTTAGATATTAGAAATAAACTTAATACCAGATAGCTACAGGAGATCAACCACAGTAATGAAAAACAAAACTGAATGTGTTATTAAAGGATTGTTTAATTCTCACTATATTATGTAAATTTAAAGTAGACTAAACTATATATATTTTACATTATTTTTATATGTACAAATATACTGGAATCAGTGTGTCTAACAAAAATTGCTTTATAATCAAATTTTAATAACATGGAATTGGTTTAAAACATTTAAATCATGAGTTTGATTTATTCAATATAGAAATGAAAAAACTGAAATTTTATATGAATGTCTAATTTTTCTCTTACCAAAAAATCTTACATTGGAAATACAATTTGTTGAAACATGGAATTTTATGGAAGGTAGACATGGAATGAGTAGACATTTACATTAAAAAGTGTAATTTTGCTTAAAATGTGAACTATACCCCATCAACTTTCTCACTATAGTTTGGGATTTTAATTATACTTTGCATTTTGTATTTTACAGTACAACATGTATCAGAGGAATATAACTTTGATAAGAAGCTTCTTGTTTGATGTGATGAACCTTCTCAACGTGGTAAGATATTTTTCCTATGAACGTGTGTTTCCTCATTAGAGTTTGAGGCTTTCCTATGATTTTACCAAGTAAGGAGTGGGGAGAGTCACATGGTTTAAGATCAGCAGCAGTTTTGAGAAATTTAGCAGACAAGGATAAACATCAAGGTAAAATCATGTATAGTGTAGCAAAGGCAACTTGTACAATTCCTGTTTTCAGAATGAGATACATATATCCATCATACGTAGTCAGCAAATGACCTAAAACTCTAGAGAAATATCAAAAAATTTATGAAGAAAAATGCTCTTCCCACAGATTTATAGCACCATAGATGTTCAAGTGGTCTTGGTAGGTATGGAAATCTGGTCTGATGGTGATAAGATAAAGGTGGAACCCAACATTGGCGTCACCTTTAGCAACTTTCAGAATTGGCATCACTCTAACGTGGGGAAAATGAAGCCCCATGACCATGCTCAGCTACTCAGGTAAGCACACACTGGCCCGGGCCAACAGTAGGTAGGCAGAGTATGTAATTATCCCAAAGGTTTCTGGAAGGGATTACTGTCCAGTTATATATCCTCAATCAGTTGTCAGAGAGGCTGTAGTTCTACCATTAGCAATTCACCTGTTAGATTATTGAAGACCTGTGTCAGATGACCAAAATGGGTTCTTGGATATGGGGCAACCATCTACAGTCATTATAGTGCTATGGAATAGCATAAGCTTTTCTGGGGCCTAGTGAATATAAATAGGGCAGGGCAACAAGGAAAATCAAAAACATTATTCAGAAAAACAAATGGTTCCAAAGATTCAGGTTGTAATGATGGACCTGTAACTTTTACACAGTGGACGTGACTTCGCCCATACACGCGCAGGACTGGCAGCTGTAAATTCCCTGTGTTCCTTGTCTTCGGTTGCTGTCATTGAGGTTTGCGAACTTACAGTAAATCTCTTTGTGGTTCTATATCATCTGTGAAGACCAGCATGATGCCTTATATAGAGTTAGTACAATGAACATATGCTGAGTCAGTAAAAAAAAAAAGTAGGAAGAAAACTACTGGTAGACATTATATCAAAGATTCCTTTGATTACAGAACTGAGTATTTCCTTACGTTGACTCTCACAGAAGACCTAACTCTTTAGTTGGTGTTACTGAGTAAGAGCAGGATTGGGAGAGACAGGAAATCCAGGTGTCCTCTGTGATTTGAGCTAACTTCAAACGAATCATCCCCAGTGTCAATGGCAAGAGAGATCAGACGAGGTACACACTGGTGTGATGTGGCCAAGCGCTACAAATGTCAGTAGTTTTAGGAGGCCTTTGGGTACATAGTATGGTACCTTTTGGGACTTCCTATGAAGAATGTATTTACCTGAATATAACCATGGTTACTGAGAAAGTATCATTAGTTCAGCAAATGTTTATTAAGCACTGGATCAATAGCTGATTCATAGAAACCAATAATTTCAAGTGTTTATTCAACATTTTACAATAACCAATGACAGGGAAAAGAACTTCATGACTGATTATTTTTTATTTGTCAAACTATTATTTTACTTCTGAACATTGACAACAATTAAGGATTAACTGAAGAAGAACAAGTAATAGATGTTTCCATTTTTTCAAGGCTGAGAGAAAGAATAACGTGGCTCTTGTAGCAGTGATGTCACATGAGCTGGGTCATGCCCTTGGTATGCCTGACATTCCACATGACACCAAGTGTTCCTCTGGGAGTTGTGTGATGAATAAGTATCTAAGGTGAGGCCTTGTCGATGGAAGGTTCAATCCTCGGGCAGGGCACGTATCTCTGCTGCAGGGTCAGTTGCCCCCAGGGGCAAGTATGGGAGGCAACCGATTGATGTTTCTCTCTCACGTTGATGTTCTCTCTCTCTCTCTTTCTCCTCCTTCCTTTCTCTAAAAAAAAAAAAAAATCAATAAACATATCCTCAGATGAGGATTAACAAAAATGTAATTCAGATGTAATCTCTATTGCTGGATGGGCATTTTTTTTTTTATCAAGGGCTGTGTATTCCATTAATTCACCCTCCAGCCTCTTGATGCACAAATTTTACTAGCTATTAGGGCTCATTACTTATGATTTTTAAATATACCAAGATAAACCATAAGTATGGTGACTGTGTTATTTTAACGTTAAATAATGTGTCTTCTAAAGATATGGATCTAATTAAGATGACAACTATCCGCATGACCAATCACTCAATCCATTTTTCTGTCCTGTGTTATTGATCACATTGCTGCTCTCCACATATAACACGGCATATGCCAAAATAGATAGTAAACTTGGAACTTACATGGAATCAGGTAATATTTTTAGACAAGTCAGATTCTCACATTCATTTATCACAATATATCATGGTATGGCTGATTTTTCTTCTGGTTACAGTTCAAAATTCCCAAAGGATTTCAGTGCATCCTCCCGCTCACATTTTGAAAGATACATTTTATCTGAAAAACCAAAGTGCCTGCTGCAAGCACCGATTCCTAAAGATATACTAACAAAACCAGTGTGTGGGAACCAGCTTCTGGAAGTAGGAGAAGAATGCGACTGTGGCTCTCCCAAGGTAGGAACATACCCACAGTTAAAAACCTTGGTAGACAGTGATTGCACCATAACTGTTTTCTGTCTTTTTCGTTTTCTAAAAACCATTGCTTTTTTAAAAAAAATTTCTAAAGACAAGCTTGGCATCATCATAAAAAGCAGACTTGCACTTATGTTAGTTCTGATTTTAGGCATTTTTTGAAAGGCGTTTTAAAAGCCAGGATACAGTTTTGATGTGAGTGTATGAAGTTCAATGTAAAGAAAGAAATCATTAAATGTATCACTTATGACCTTTCCTGATACATTAGTCAGAAGTCCTATGTCCCATTTCTTAGTCACAGTTGATCATCTGTTGAACAATCGCAATCATAGATCCAGAGGTCCTCTCCACAGAGAGTTGACTTTCTCTCATCCAGCCAATGGATAAGCCAGGCATTAAACACAATAGTGAACTAGAGAAAAGGACATAAACCTGTAGAAAATAGGTTATTAACATTGACCAACCAAGATAATTACTGTAAGTCTGCTAATGTCTATAAACTCTGACGCTTTCAAGGCATCTCTGGTAGAATGTTTGCTGGAATCCCATATTAGGTTTCTAAAAGAGAACATTCTGTTTTCTTAGCAATCTTTTACTTTTAAGATTGAATTAATATTTGAAGAGATTTTCCATGTGTCAGTCTACAAAATGCTTATGTATATATGTGTGTATATATATATATATATATACACATATACACACATCTCCTTTATTACAAACCTATAAAACAAGTTTTGCAATGATCCCAAACTAGAGAAGCAGCAATGAGACTAAGAAAAGTTGAGTAACTAGTTCCAAGGATACAAAACTAGTAATCAGTGAAGCCCATGGCAATGCCTGATTCATCCATTACTTTAAGGGGCCCTATTAAAAAGGGGAAGGCACATGTTCTTTCTGTGCTTTAGTTTATTCTAAGCTGTTGAATTATTTATAAACATATTGCAAATATTATATTAATTATAATCAGATTTGGAATTTTAAAAATTATTTAATACTTCATTAATGTTGGATTTTCATTTATCTCCTTCTTACTTGCTCCCATCTCCACATGATTTCTTGGGTGGAAGACCACTGAAATTGTTTGTAATTCTAGGTACTTCTACTTTCAGCAGGCAAATGGTATACTACATATATAGATTATATATGTACTATATATATAATATAGTATCCTTTAGAGAACAGTCCAGTTTTCCATGATCTGATGTGCCATTTCTTTTAATGTACATATTTGGGTGTTTTCTAGGTTTTGAATGTAATCATTCTATCTAGTGAAATATCATAATACAAGCAATCATGACATTTTAGTTATTGTAACTACCCAATGCATTTTAATGTCTTTAATAGTAATTCTCTTCATATATATGTAGAATTCACATAGCAATTCTTTAATGTTTATTTTTCCATAAACTCTTGGCATTTTTTGTCAGTTTGCCCACAAGTACAGTTGAAATTCAGATTGAAATGCATTAAATGCATATTCCACACTGAAGGCCAGTGGTATTTTCACAATATTGAGTATTGTCTTAAAAGACAATTTGCCTTGAAATTTTCTCAGGAAGTTATATATAAAGTTCTTCATGTAATTCTGGCACGTTTTGAAGGTTTATTCTGAAGTATCTTCTATTTTTTTTGCTATTAGTAATGTTTTCTTTTTTATTTTGGGGTTATAATTATTATTCCTTTTTATGTTATTTGATTATCTTAAGCAGCTTAGTGACTTACCCAATATTTTGAGAGTCGATCCTACGTTTTTATCCAGGTCAAGAATTTTATCACATACAAATAATGAAAATGTGATTTATACTACCCAGTTATTACACTTTCATATATTTTTCTTGTCTCATATCATTTATTAGAATTTCCTAAACATATAGACTATAAATAATCTTTGTTTCATTATTTTATTGGATATATTTTTTGCTATTAGATAGATTTTCTTCATCATGGTGATACATAATTTTATTCATAGTTCACTTATAATATGCCTAAATAATTCAATAATGGCTACTGAATTCTTACCAACCAATTTTTGCCATCTATATGGTAATACTTGTTTTCTTCCCTCTGTCTCTTGATATTATAGATTATATTACTTTGTTCTGTGCAGTTGAGACACCCTTGCATTTTGGTGGGAAAAACACACTCTGTATGGTCGTAATAAAAAATTATTATATTACTAAAATGATGTTTTACAAATATTTTATTCAAGTTTTTGCATTTATATTAGTCAATGACAGTAGTGTGTATGTGAGTGCCCATTACCAGTTCTTAACAATCAGAATTATGCATTCTTGGTAAAACAAATTGAAGATTTAATATATATTTCTCTATCTTCAGTTTGTGTAGTATAGAAATACTCACCCCTAAAGTTTTAAATTAATCTATGTGATATCATCTAAGACACATTTTTTCTGGGGTAATTCTTGGATAATTCAATTTTCTGTCCTTCTAAGCAGTAGTTTTCATTAACATAATTTTTTAATTATTAATTTTCCTTGGTCATTTCCACTATAACTTGTATAGCAGAATAATTTAGTTTAAAAGGTGAAATTTTATTGCCATCTTGTACGAGAATTCTACAGGGCAAAATGCTGACCCCACTTTCCCGCTGTGTGTCCTTTAAAGGAATGCACCCACCCTTGCTGCGAGGCTGCAACTTGCAAGTTCAAGCCCAGCGCTGACTGTGTGAAAGAGACTCTGAACCACACAACGTGAGACCTTTCTTTTTTTCCTTTGTTCTCAAATATTTTCCCACTTTTATTTCATATTTGAGAATAGTGTGACTGAATTCTATTGCACAGCAAAACATAATTTATTTTACATTTTAAAAGTGGCTCAGTTTCAGGAAGGGAAAAAAAGACATCATTACAAGTATAACGAACTCAGGGCGGTGTGGGTGCTAACATGCTAATGAGAAAATGGCTGCTTTGTCATCTCTGACTAGAAGTGCTGAAACGTGCTAAAACCTGCATACATTTTCATTAGGTAGCAGTGAGTTTAATGTTAGTTAAGCGAAGAGAGAAGTAAAGTTCTTTTTTTAAAAAAAGTTCTGATTGATGAGCAAATTTTATTCTAGGTAAAGAGCTGATAGTTGTCATTTGCGAGGTAGTCAGGAAATCAATAATATTTAAAAACATATTAGAAAAGACGATACTTTCAGGGATCGTTTCTATAGTTTGTTACTAAAAACATATTGTAAGATATAATGATTTTCTTTCTTTGTTAAAAAATTATTTTATTTTTTACTAAAGTATAGTTGACATACAATATCATATGAGTTTCAGGTGTACCACATAGTAATTCAGCATTTATATACTCTGTAATGGAATCACCACAATGGGGCTAGCCTGTCATTCTACAAAGTTATTGTTATTATCGCCTCATTGACCCTAGTCCTTGGGCTATACCTTGCCTCCTGTGACTTATTTATTTTATAAGTGGTACTTATTTTATAAAAGGTTATAAGATAACCTTTTATCTTATCTTATAACCTTTTATTCTCCTTCCACCAAAAAAAAAAACCCAAAATGGAAACAGACTCACGGATACAAACTGATGGTCACCCTAGAAGAGGATGGGGAAATGGGTGAAAAAGATTTTATTCCTTTAAACGTGTCTCAAGAAACTCAAGCCTATGTATTATTTTTGTGTTTTATACAATATTATATGAGCTGGGCGAGAGAACCCAATAGCTCTGAACATAGTATTTTTGTTAGTAAAAAAATAGTCTCTGAATCTAAAAATGGTAATAATAATAACAAAAGGCATAAATAAGGGAAAGAGTCTGGATAAATTATAAGGAAGAAGTTATGCTTACTCTTCTTTCATGAATCTTTTCTGGAATTGAAACCAGAGAGGTCATTAGAACAATGGGCTCAGCCCCCATCGACAGTCACTCTCTCGGGAGAGGCCTGGCAAGGTGGTAGACAAGGAGCAGCACTCCCTGTGTACAAGGTGCCACTCACCATCACCACAGCTGGCCTAACCCTGGCCGTGAGCCACTCAGCAGGGAGTTCTGGGAATTGTGTCCGTCTTCTAATTGTGTCAGAGACACAGCAGAGCACCTCTAAAAATGTCCGTTCAACCCTTTGGGGGCCTGGGATGGAAGGTGGCCATGTCCCATGACTGACCCAGATGGACAATTTAGTAACATGGAAAGAAAATTGAACTTGGACTCAGAAAACATCAGTTGTTTTCTTAGTTCTGCCCAAAGTGAGCTGTGGGACGTTAAGCCAAGTTATGTAATTAGTGTTTCTCACCTGTAAAATAGAGTGAATAATATTGTTTCTTTGTGGGGCTGTTAGTGTTATTTAAACTTTATAAATATTTGTTATCCTGATTATCTACTATCTTATAATTTTTACTAACCATGGCTTCCAAACATTTTATGTTTTAATCAGTAAGTGAATCAAAAAATCAACTTCAATGAAGATGCTTCTTGCTTTCTTGCTGGGACAAGAATCAAGAAGTCTGAACATATCAGCATTCTTGTGTATCATCACGGTGCACTTAGACATATTTTGCTTTTTATTTGTCATTATTCCTTCTGTATTTTTTACTAGTCCAGCTCACCAGTAAAGAGATGTACTTAAAGAAGCTGCCGTCTTTCAAGACCTGATCTTTAATGCATTTTTAAGGATCATGAATCTGTTGTTTAGCTCTGTTCTTTGGAAAACAAAGAAATTAGCCCTTGGCCAAAACACCTTGAAATGCATCACTGAATTATTCACAGTCAATCCAGAGTTGTTAAAGTACAGGTGACTTGTACTTTAACTCCACTTTCATTTTCTTAGTTACAGCCCATGAGAAAAATAACATCATGGCTTGATGTGTAAAACCTTTGGTTCATGTGTCATCTCTTCCTCCTCCGCCTTCTGCTTGCCTTGCTCTTACAAGTGCGACATTTTCCTGTATCATGTCACGATTCATTAAATATAAACATCTTTATTTTATCATGTGTAACCCTTTCACCATCACAGATAATGTTAATTCTGAGAAGTCTGCATTGCTTGCATTTTAATTCCGCTATCAAGGAGTGCTTTATTCATCTATTGATTGAATGAACCATAATGTCAATGAATAAAAACACAACTTTTTTGAAGTTTTTCTGTGTGATCATTTTCTAATATGAATAATTTCAGGCTTTGTTGCAGTTCTGTGTTAGGTGTTAAAGCCTCACATTATTAGACAAGTGTCCCTCTGGTCATGCGACGGTATTGTCACAGAGAGCCAGGCATCGCTATATGTCCTGTTGTCCTTTCATGCTCCTCATGAAAGGACCTGAGGCTTGTCACACAAGAGGACTAGACTTCTCTCTGAGCTTTATTTCTCTATATACTTTTAAGCAATTACTAAAAAAATTTACAAAAATTTCCATTGATGCCTGTGCTGGGAGGACAGGAGCGTAGACAAACCTCTGAAGCTCGGGCTCTGAAAGGGGCAGCCTCTCAGAGAGCCTCAGCCGCTGTTGTTGGTGTCGCAGCTGAAGCCGTAAGTCAGAAGGCACTGCTGGCCAGGCTACAGCCCCGGGGCAACCGATTCCTCTAAGGAACTAGAAGTTTCCTTAGGCATATTTCCCCCCTCGTACCTCAAGATCGGGCCGAGGCTCCTGGTAGCAACACTGCTGGGCGGCCAGGGTGAGCGCCGGCGGTGTGCCCGAGACAGCTAGCACGGGCTTGTCCGTGCCGCTGCTGCATTCTCCGGAATGTCATGAGCTGGTTGTCAAACACAGCCATTACTGAAAACCAACCCACATAAACGTGCAATTAAATACATTATAGTAAAACCTGTATTAGTCACATTTACCCAGAGAAACAGAAAATATATATTTCTTTCTTTATACATTAAACGTGAAAGTGATTGATTATGAGAAATGAGCCCAGAGGATGAAGAAGACTGAGAATCCCACAATCAGACAGCTGCAAACTCAGACCCAGGCGAGCTGATGGTGTACTTCAGTCCAAAGACAGGGGAGGAGGTGAGATACTGTAGCTCAAGCAGCAGGCTGGGAGGAAAAAGGAGTGAGTTCCCCTCTCCTGTCTTTTGCTCTCCTTAGGCCCCAGCCTTCCCCGCGGCCTTGAGTAAGGTTCCAGAAGGCAGAATGGGAGGTGAGTGGTGGGGGGTGTTCAGGTCTGGAAATGAGGAAGGACAGGTAGCTAGTAGACACCGCACTAAGTCCTTGTCATACATCTTCTTATTTAATTTTCCTCACACTCACTTTAGTTTTGTCATGTTTCAGTTTTGCAGATGATAATATTAACTTTCAGAGATAGTGAACTAATGTCACACAGCAAATAATATAAATGACTGGTGTCTACCCCAGACACGACATTCTTCCTAGGGAAGTACGCTGACGTTTTATACTGGAAGATTATATTTAATCATTGTATATGCTAGAAACTAATAAGAAAAACTAACAGCTAAAAATCATAACAAGAAAATTGTCCATGTATTTAAACAGTTGTAGCACAAAGTCATCTTTTAGTGTTTCATGCAAATTAAGAAAGATAAAAATAGAGGAGAATCAAGATGGTGGAGGAGTGAGTGGAAGTCACACTGACCTCTTCCCAGGACCAACCTGGAATTACAACTAAATTGTGGACCAATCACCTGGAACAAACAAAGGAACAACAGCAAGAGAGGAGCCTTACAACCACAGAGACAGAAGAATCCACTTTAGTACAAGCCAACTGGTAAGGAGTGTGGTAGAGACTCAAGAAGACAGGCGGGCACCCAGGGGTGGCAGCACCAGAGGGATATTGAAACAGCCAGCTGGACCCCCTGAAAAGAATGGGGTCTAAGCCAAAAGCAGGGATCTCCAGCCTACAGCACCAGAGCCCAGAAAGTACACAGAAAAGAGCCAGCTGTGAAAAATGGCAGGGTTGCTCTCTGACAGAGACAAGTGGCTGGAGACACAAAGAGCTATTTCAAGGGCCAACAAATAAATTTTTATTTGCAGCCACTTACCCTGGTCTCTGGCAAAGGCTATAGACTGCTGAGGAGAGACAGGGGAAGGAGGCTTTGGGGAAAAAACTGAGAGAGTAGCTGGCGGGATCTTGGTGCTGACTTATCTCCCTTGCAGCAGCATCCATCTTGGTCAGGTAGAGACCACTCCCCCTGAGTGGCAGCAGTCAGAAGACCCAAGACACCCACCCCCCAAGTGGGATTCCGCCCCGCCCTGTGCTGTCAAAGTGGCCTTCTGTGTGCAGAGTGACTAGATTAACAATCGAAGGATGACAGCCACAGACAGTATATTCCTGGAAGTCTCAAACAGGCTGCCTATGGTCAGACAGGGATAACATCTGACATCATCAGAGGCAGATCAGAAAAGTAAAAACAGTGGTCTCCTACCATAGAACTTCACACCACAAAGTCAGGAGATCAAGACAGATCAATTTAAGAAGCAGAAACAAAAAAGAAGAGTCTCACAATAATGGGAAGACAAAGAAATACCCCCCAGTCAAAGGGAAAGGAGGAATCCCCAGAAAGAGAACTGCATGAAATAGAAGCACGTAAACTATCAGATATTGTGTTCCAAACAACGGTTATAAGGAAGCTCAATGAGTGAGTTCAGAGAGAATTACAAAAAACTATAGGGAAGCCACAAGGAACTTACTGCAAACTATATCAGCATGAAAAAGGACATAGAAACTATCAATAAGAGACAAGAGGAAACGAAGAACACAATTTCTGAATTGAAGAACACAGTAGAAGGA